ACTAGGATTTTCTTTTTTTTTTTTTTTCTATAATTATATTTTATTAATTTTCATAAACATTTACAGAGATTTTGGGCTTCCACTCATTCATTGTTGCACTATTCTCTCTACCCTCCTCCCAGTTTGTTCTTGTCCAAATGCCACAGTGCTTGTCAAAGCCAGTTCTGATTAATCTTCTTTGTCAGTGTATCCTTTGCCCTTCCCTATCACTCCTCCCTGAGAGAGACTTCACCCTGAGTCATAAGGAAAAGGGGATGGCGTATTCTCTTAGCTACTTCCTGCTGAAAAGGGACGCTGTGGGTTTCAGGGTGAAGATCTTCTCTCACTACTCTAAAGGGCCCCTTTGGCAGTAGGAAACACATAGACTATTATGGAGATTGATTTTGGAATTCAGATGCACTCTTATTGATTGTGCTTGGCTGTACATGTACATATCCTTCAAGATGTTGTACTAGGATTTTCTGAGGCCTGTTATTTCAGAAACGGGTGACCAATCCTTCTCCCTAGTCTGTCCTAATTTGGTTGCTCAACTCTAAAGCAATATTTGACAGACAAGACCTGTGTAATACCACTATCATTCGAATATATGCACCAAAAACCAGGGCCAAAGAGGAGGAAATATATTACTTCTACCAACTTTTGCAGTTGGAAATTGATCAAACATACAACCAAGATAGTTTGATAATAATGGGCGATTAGAATGCAGAAGTTGGGAACAGGGTAGAAGGATCAGTAATCAGAAAGTACGGACAAGGTGACAGAAATGAGGCTGGAGACAGAATGATAGGATTCTGTACAATCAATGATCTTTTCACAGCAAACCCCTTTGATAAGAAACATAAATAGTGATTACATGGACTTCACCTGATGGTCTATACAGGAATCTGACTAATTCTGTGGAAAAAAGTGTTGGAGAAGCTCAGTATCAGCTGTGAAAACTAGGCCAGGTGCTGATTGTGGAACAGACCATCAGCTATTAACAAGCAAATTCAAACTGTAGCTAAAGAAAATAAAATCAAATCCATAAGAACCAAATTTTGACCTGGAGTCTATCCCACCAGAATTTAAAGGGCATCTCGAGAACAGATAATGAAGCCCTGAGCATTAATGAGTGAAGACCAGAGAGCTGTGGGAGGATATCAAGAATATCTTTCATGAAGAATGCAAAGTCACTGCAAAGACAAGGGGCGGGGGGTTGAAAGACCAAGCTGGATGTTTTTCAGAACAAATGTACATAGGATCACTATGAGTCCAGGCAACTCAATGGCACATAACAACAACAACAAGATAAAAGATGATGTAAGTGACATGGTTGGCAAATTCCCTTTCCATCAGGTCAGGGCTGTGATTCCATTAAGGCTGTTGCATTTCACCTTAATCCTTTTACACCTGATTGGCTGATTACATAAAATGAGTGATCACATCATTACATAACAGCCAAACTCCCCAGGTGTCATGGCCCAGTGAAATAGACACATATTGGGGGTGGGAAGAGACACAATTCAATCATCCAAAACACTTTTACTTCATCAAACCATCCCCAAAGTCCTAGATCAATTCCAAATTCCATCTGTATCTTTTTCCACAGTGCAGTGATGGAACAAGACAGGTATTTCCATTACACATGAGAGAAACTGGAGAGAAAGAAGGAATAGTGAGCTTCAAGCAACTCTAAAGACCCAGTAGAACAATATACATTAGCTCTCAAGTCTTGAAAATCATTCTCTATTCTTTGAGATCATCTCAGCAGTGACCTTACCTTCAGACTCTGGGTGTTGGCAAAGCTCTCAAGTGTGGGGTTCATTCTACATCTCAGACCTGCTGGGATAGAACTCGGCTTTGGGCAGCCCTCCTTGCCAGCTGAGGGACAACTCCACTTCATGACGACAGCATAAACAGTTCTTCTTTCCCTTAAGCGTGGTAGCCCCACTCCTTAAGCTTTGGGCCGCAGATCTAGCCTCATCTGCCATTCCTGAACAGCATCCTCATACTGTGGGATTGTTTTTGTTGTTATATGCCGTCAAGTCACCTTCACTCCATAACGACCCTATGTGTACAGCAACTCTGAAGCCTGCCCCGGTCCTGAGCCAGTCTCACTGATTCCGACACACCAACCCCCATTGCCCCAATTACTGTATCAATCCATCTCATTCGGGGTCTCCCTCTCCTTTGCTGTTCCTCCACCCAAGGATGATATCCTTCTCTTAAATTGGTGAAAAATCTGATTCTTTGACATCTGGGAGACCATAACGCCACCCTTTGAGACCCAGAGGCCCTTCTATTTAAGACTGAGGCAGCTTTGCTTCCTGTGCTTTTTGTCTCTTCAGCTTCTGCTTCCTGGTCCCTTGGACTTCTTAGACTGACCCCAGTCTCTGCCTTGATTGCCAATTTTGTCATCATTTCTCTGCTGCGGTTTCTAACTGCCTGTACTTTCTGCATTGTTCCATCTCTCCTCACTCCTCTGAATTCTCATTAGAAATACCTTTGATATCCTTAATTCCTTCTGTATTTGCTAATCATTGTCCAGCTTTCTGATGCATAGCAAGTAATTGCAAATATCAGGCACACCTTAGTCACCAGACTGACATCATTGCTCTTCGGTACTTTGGCGAGGTCTCTGATAGCAGACTTGCCCAGTGCAATTCATCTTTTAATATCCTGGCTTCTGGTACCAAGAATGTTGATTGTGGAGCCAAGCAAACTAAAGCTGTTAACAATCTCAATCTCTCACCATCTATCATGATGCTGCCAATTGGTCCAGTGGTGATAATCTTTGTTTTCTTGACCTTGAGCTTCAATCCATATTGAAGGCTGCAGTTCTTGACCTTCTGAAGTAAGTACTTTAGGTCCTCCGTTTCAGCAAGCTGGTTGTGTCATCTGCATAACGCAGATTGTTGATGAGTTTTTCTCCAATCCTGATGCCACACTTCTCCTCATAGAACTCAGCCTCCCAGATAATCTGTTCTGCATATAGATTGAAAAGGTATGGAGATAGGACAGACACAACCCTGGAGTACACCTTCCCAATTTTGAATCATACAGTGGTTGATGCCTTTGTGCTGTGGAGCTGGAGAAGAGTATTGAATTTAACATGGATCGCTAGGAGAACAAACAGGTTCAGCCTAGAGAGGGTGAGACCAGGCTGCTCCTTGGAAGCAAGGATTCTGAAACTTCATCAGACATACTTTGGACATGTTGCAAGGCGGGACCAGTCCTTGGAGAGGGATGTCATGTTTGGGAGGGTGGAGGGACAGCTCAAGAGATGAAGCCCCTAAATGAGATGGATTGATTCAGTGACTGGGTAATTGGGGAGGTAGGTATGTCAGAGATAGTAAGATTGGCACAAGATAGAGCAGGGTTTAGGTCTGTTGTACACAGGGTCCCTATGAGTTGCAGGCAACTCGATGGCACAAACATCTGTAATTCTATCAAGTTTCTTCAAAGCAATCTAAGCTTTTACTGTTAAGCACCTTAAAGCCTCTATTCATTACGCAATTCTAGAACAACGTACACATTTTCAGTAGTGGTTAGAACAGCACCCCACCCTGTCCTGTATCATCCTCATCATCTCTGAGACGCTAGAGCCCATTGCTGCAGTCACTGTGTCAGTCTATCTCATTGAGGGTCTTCCTCTTTTTCTCTGACCCTCCACCTTTCCAAGCATAATGTCCCTTTCCAAATAATAGCTTATCTTAGCAACATTCCCCAAAGTGAGACAAAGCTTCACCATCCTTGCCTCTCTCTGGCTGCACTAATCAGCCAGCTTTAAGGAAATGCTCTTCCTCTGTCAGCTCTGATGGCTGGTCCTTGTCTCTTTTCAACATGTGTGGGCCCAGTGTTCCTTGGAGATCTCCAGGCATCAGTCTTCTCTTGGTTTAGGAGGACCTCAGTCAAGAACCCCAGATCTAAAAGGCATGCTTTGCTCTCAGCTCTTTGCTGGTGTTAGATCCCTCCTCTCTTCACCTCTGTCCTTTTGTGATCTTGTAAGAGAAAAGATGATGCAGGCCATACCTTAGGAAAACTTCTTTTACATCAAATCAAGGCAGTAATGTCATCTCCTTGCAACTATGATTAATAATCATAGAGATAATGACATCATTCTGTAAGTGCCAAATAATTGGGAACCAGGGCCAAGTTGACATATACTTTTTGCTGTTGTTAGGTGCCATCTCTCATCAACTATAACTTATAGTGACCCTGTGAAAAGCAGACTGAAACTTGCCCTATCCCACCCCTTCCTCATAATCTCATTGTTGCAGTCACTGTCAGTCCAACATGGAGAAGATCTTCCTCTCTCTTTATACTTTTCCAAGCATTTTTTTTTAACTCCACTCACATCGTTAAGGTCAACGCTACTTTGTGGAAGCAGCTCTTTGCCAGTTATTCTGAGTGCCTTCTGGCCTGAGGCACATCTTCTAGTATCATATAAGGCCATGTTCTGCTATTCATGGGCTTTTAACGACTTGTTATTTAAGAGTCTTGCTTCTTTGTCTTAGTCTAGAAGCTTTGCTGAAACCTGTCCACAATGGTGACCCTGATGGTATTTGAAATACTAGTGGCATAGCTTTCAGGATCACAGCAACATGCAACCCACCACAGTCAATAAAGTGACATATTCGGATTCGGGGGGAAGAATAGAGAAAGGGGGCCAGGAAGCAGGACACAATTCAATCCCACGACTGCAAACAATGGTAAGCTTTTGTACATAGAAGAAAATGAGGTGGTGCATTCCTGAGGATAAATATCTGCTGTCTGGTGGCCTGATGGTAAGGAGCAGTGCTCACAATCCAAAGACAAGCAGTTCAAATCCACTAGCTCCTCTGAAGGAAGAAGATGGGCAGTCTTCTCCCGTGCAGTAGTTTACAGCATCTGAAAAGCCACTTGAAGATCAGCTATGAGTTGGTTCTGACTCAATGGCAGTGAAGTTGGTTTTGTTTTGTGGGGTTTACTTAATAGAACAAAATAAAATTAACATCATCTTTCTTTTCTACATTTGCCAGGGGAAGAGCTGATGACCACTCCAATCTTGCAGGCCACTGCAGCCCTTTCTCCACAAGCTGAAGCTAGCACAGCACTCATTGCAGGTAACAGTTTCTGAGCCAAATTCAAGAGACCTCTAAGAGTTAGTGGCCCTCTCACTCTAGACGCAGCCTAAAGCTTAGGATCTAAGCTTTTTCTCCATACAGGAAGAACACCACTGCCTCAGGGACTGAATCAATTAATGGGCCCATTTTTGGCATGTGGGTTATCTTACACACAAAGGTTATAAAAAGACTCTTAGAGCCTTCTGTCAGGCAGCGCAGTAAATGATAGGTTGGGAGGTGGCCACAAATAGATATAGGTACATATGGGCACTACCCTCAAGCTTACGTGGGTAGAGATGAGGATATATGTGGTTTGTTGAGTGGGAGGGAAGAGAATGGGAGGGAATCTGAGAAACCCTTACAGGAAGACTGTGGATTTTAAAACCCTTTCCTGTTGGAATAAGCTATTTCCTACTTTGCTCTTGCCTGCTTCTATTATAATTATCAGGGATTGGTTGGGAGACAGTTCCATCCTTTTAAAACATCAACAGGCTGTCTTTAGCTTAGGTACCATGAGAATCCAGGTTTCCTGTCCCATGGAAGCTGGGATTGGGGTTGGAGGGGACATAGATTTGGAACTGGAAATGGGTTCCTTAGGAGGATCCTTATAAAGAGGGAATTTTATCACTGTATTACTGAGACTTCCTTAATCCTGAAAACTCCATTTCCCTTCTCCTTCCCAAGTTGTCATCACCGTGATCTTCCTCACACTGCTCTCAGTCGTGGTGTTGATCTTCTTTTACCTGTACAAGAACAAAGGCAGCTACGTCACCTACGAGCCTGCAGGAGGCGAGCCCAGTGCCATCCTCCAGATGGAAAGTGACTCAGCCAAGGAAGAATATTTCATCTAATAGTTTCTGGGCCCTTGGGAGCTTATTCCAGGTCTACATGGACTATTTAAATTATTAGGTAAAAGTTTCATCTGAAGCCAGCAAGCAGCATTAATTGGTATGTGCAATTCTGAGTTCCCTTCAGGATATGGGTCCAAATGTCAGCATCGCTGAAAGCAACTATGTCTTTAGCCAGGGCTTCATAATATAGCTGCTATTTGAAACTAGCCAACAGATAGGGCTATACCAGGAAACATTTATTCACAGGTTGGAGGGAAGTAAGGTTTATTGGCTGCTCCACTTTGTTCCCTGTCTCGTCGGTCACCTAGGGTAGGAGACCACAAAGAGACGATGAATGTGCTAGTCTGAGCCCTTCCTTCCTCTATTCTGCAACCACCTCAAAACTTGTACTGTTTTTATCAGAATTAAAAGTTCTTACTGACACAGGAATCAGTTAATCACATGGGAAGAGACTTGCCCTTCTTTCTCCCGTGGCACATACCTTTAGATTGCCAGCACCACTCCTTGACACTAGGGCACCAGAGCTCTGGAAAAACCTTAGGGAGGTTTAACAAGTTCCACAACTACCTCCAGAGTTTGGTCCTGGAACAATGATTGTCCCAGTGTACCTTGGGAGGTGAGTTAGGTTAGCCTCTATCCTGTCAAGACCCAGGACTTCCCAGTGTCCATTTAACAAACAGAGGAAGCCAGAAGACATTTACCTTTTCCGTTTCCTTGGAACCAAGTTCAGAGGCTTCTGTCTTCTCAAAATAAGCAGTATTTAAAAGATATACTGGCTTGGTATAAGTCATGGCGTCGTACTACCGAGTGAGAACCAACTCAGAGCTGACCCTGCAGCAGGTTTTCAGAGGCAGTAAGGTGCATGGGAGGCTATTGTCCACCTTTCTTCTGTGGAACAGGTGGTGGGTTGGAACTACATGCCTTAGAATTGCAAAAGTACAACTGCTTACCTCAAAGCCACCAGAGCTCCCTAGTATAAATCATTTGCTCCCCAGATTTTGTTTACTTTGGAGTTAAGCTAGATCTTTTAAGATCTATTAAGGATCCCTGAAGTATTCTTCCCATAGTAAAACTTCACTTTGAGGTCTTTGAATGTTTTGGTTGCCTCAGTTGTCCAGAAGTTGAATTATCAGTGTTGGCAACTCAGACTGCAGATTTTAGCATTTCTCTACATAGAACTCTGGAGAAAACGAAGGTCACCCTGAAGTTAGGATGAGATGTATGAAAACATTTTCAAGATAAACTCCAAGACATGTTAGGAGAATCATTCCCTAATTTCTAAATTTAGGCTCTGAATCTCTGGTATAATGGGCTTTTTAAAATATGAAAGGGCTCATGAAGTAAAATCTTCACTTTAAACAGAACTCATGAAAATGGTCAAAGCTTTGCCTTCTAGTACTACTACATTTATTTCAAAGAACTTATTAAATAAACCAGATTGATGGCATGCCTGCAT